TGATTAAATGAGAACCAACAATGTAGTGAGAATTCATTACAAGGAAAGGAAATGCTTGGTGAAGTAAATGCAAGAAACATAAACTAAATGAGAATGCATTTAATACCCATTTACCGCTAAGAAATTTAAGAACATTGAAGCATTAATGGTGAAAGCTTTAACGGAAGATTGAACTTAAAAACAACTAGACATTAATGACATTCAAAGCATTAAAGGAAGCTTCAAAGTTTCTTACATCAAATTAGAAAACAATGTATGGAAGAAACTGTAAAAATCTAAACTTCTCTCTCTAACTACACTATTCATCTTCTTCCCCACTCTTTCTCTCTCTATATTCAATGTCTTCTATATTGCATAATGAACCTCTCGAGCTCCTTCCCTCCTCAAAAACATCCCTAGAGTCTTCCTCTAGCTAGGTGATATGATCTCCATCCATAGGCTGTTAAGAGGGATGGGCTAGATAATGTAATGCAGAGCTAACCTACACACCCAACAGTATTCTTCTTCTCTCTCCTCATTTATCACCAAAGCTTCCAAAATCAATTTAAGGGTGTAGGAGGTTTGTTCAATGTCATGGGGGAGTCAGAGACAAGTGGGAGAGTGATTGGTGGTGCCCTTAAAAGAGGGCAAAGCTTGATATGCAGAAATTGGGGAGATTCAGCAAATAGTACCAATACTATGTACCGGTACCCTGAACTCCAGAGGCAAACCCGTACCGGTACTGCGTACCCATACTGTCTGTTACAGAGGCCAAATCGTACCGATACTGCCTCTGCTATTTGTCTAATTTTCTGATTTCTTCAACACCTAAGCCATCTTCTAGCCACTCTTTCATCCTCATTCACCTTAACTTATTCGGGAAGGCCTTAAGAAGCACCATTTATCGCCTCTTTTCCTGCAAACACCAAATATCTTCGTTAATAGCTCTAGTAGCGCAATTCCAATCATTTAATCCCCAAAAGCAAGTGAAAATGGAATGATTAGCACATGAAATATGCAATGTTTTTGTCCTAATCAGCTTCTCAGGAATCTACACAACGATTCTATCTCGTTCACCCATCACAACCACACAATCTCAACCATTCCCCCACAGGGTCATATCACAAACCACTTTAGGAAGGACATATACCATCCCTCGGCCTCAAAGTTACATGAATAATAGTGATTGCTCTCACAAACAATAATCTACTACAAGTGTTAGGCAACCATCTCATCCCCACTTAGATAGACCAACCTCTAACACTCTATGGCAGCTCTCGAAGGCAATTCAAATCCGTCACAATAAACCATACAGAGATGAAACCACAACTTTCTTAACAACCACAATTTTAACCAATCACAATTTTCATTACCAATTCAAATATCACAATTTTACAATTCTCAATACACTACAATAATAAGGAATTAAAATATACAAGAAATCATCTTAAGAAAATATTCACAATTTCGATATCAAAATTCTAGGGTTTAGCCAAAAATTATAATTTCTTAGAACAAGAACAAATATTAGATGAAAAGACGATTTAATCAACAATAGGAATTTAGAAATCAAAAATCCATATTTTCACAATAGAACATGTATTTTGAAAAACACTAGGGTTTTGGAAATTCAAGAACAAGTATTCCTTGAACCTAAACATGTATTTCATTTAAAACTATGTTTCAATGATAAAGAAATCAAGAACTCATAATTATTTATCATATATCTATCAAGAAGATTAAAAACACACATATATAATACCCTAAGTCTCAATGAAAGAACTTGAGACGAATCCCCTATCTCAATTCCGTAGTTTTGTGTGAAACCTGGCATATTTGATCCGTTTCAACGTGAAAATTCCCCTTAATCTCGTGTTTCTCCTCTTCTTTCTTGCTCTCCAAAACTCTCTAGGTTAGAACTAATGAAATAGAGCAAGAGAAGACATCCTTGGGTATGTTTAGTATGAGAAAACAGTCCAATTGGCGCAAATCTAATACTCAGAATTCCGATCTCACGTTCGAACTAAAGGCTTGATGTTCAAACTATCTACCAAACGTTCGAACATCATTTTGGAATTCAAACATTGCTTGCTCCCATTACTTTTGCTTTTCAATCAGAGTTCTATCAAACACAAAAGTATTGGGACTAACTGTCGTTTAAACGAATCCATTCATATTCAAACGAACTCCTATTTTTAACTGAACTTCCAATGATGCCTATTTAGAGGTCGATGTAGAACATTTTTGTGAAATACTCTTTTCTAGCCTTGGAAGTCTAATATCCACTATAAAAATTTCAGAGCAAACAGATATCAGGGTAAAAAGTTATGGTCCAAATACTAAGGTAGTGTCCAATTCCTTCCTACCCGAATTCTACGTAAAATGTGCTTTAGCTCCAGAATACTTCCTAACTTTTAGTACACACCTTATTACCTCGCCTAACATTTTTATTTCTACTTTTACAATCTATGTAGTTCATCCTTACATTATTACATATATGAGCATTTCAAATTTATTACATTACTATATAAAGATAAAAATGTGAGGGTTTACAAGACCTTGTACTCAAAAAAGTAGTCCTGGCTACCAAGGACTCTCAGGAAGGAAAGTTAAGCCCTAATTGGAAAGGACCTACATGGTGATAGAAGTTGTTAGACTAGACACCTATAGAATTCAGAACTTCATAGGGAAAGCCCTTGCCCATCCATGGAATGTGGAACACCTGAAGAGGTATTATCAATAACGGTGTACAAGCCAATGACTATCATTTTATTTGTCTTTTGTTGGTTCAGTCAATCACTTTTTGTTATCTGTTACTTTATATCATGGAATAAAACTTTGCAAGAGTTATTTTTTCTAGAACTATCTTTTATTTCATGGAAATTTGTAAAAAAATTACAAAAGTTAGAGCATGACCTAACAAAAAAAAGAGACAAAAAGACAAAAGTGGTCACACTCTCAACATCATTCACGACTCCCCGATCCACTCTCATCAAAGCTCTCTCCATCACTGTTGTTCCTGGTACCCCAAAAGGGATGAAGCTAGAAAATTCAATGGTAGGGAAGGCTACTGAGGCCTTTCCCTAAACTCCTAGTAACCATCGATAAAAGTCCCTGCAACGGCCCTCTCAGCAGCCTCCCTCTACCACTCTATCTCAATGGAATGAGTCTCTACCCTGGTGGCTCTCTTATAAGCTATTTGCAGGTCAACCTCTGCCATGACAGCCCTCTCCTGAGCTATTTGTAACTCGGCCTCAACTCTAGTGGCCTTTTCACGGGACACATGCAGCTCTATCTTTAGTCTTGCACAGGCAGCCTCTCTATCAACGTCCAGCTTGGCGGCCCTCTTGTAGGACACCAAAAGCTTGGCCTGAAGAGGTGCATTTCTCTCATGAGCCAATCTCAACTGCTCCTCAGCAGCCTCTCATACCTGCTTCTCTTTTTCTAGATCCCTTGATGCTTTGTCAAGCTCGATTGACCTCGACAAAAGGCATGGAAACGCAGTAGCCACCTAAAAGCATCCAAAAGGCATAAAATGAAAAAGAGAAAAGTGAAGAAATCAAAATTAAAAAGGAGAAAGGTATACCATTGCAAAGCCCTCCATCGGAATATCAATTATGCCCTCTAGACCCTGAGAACTGACCTCTATGATATCCACAATCATTACTAACCTCAAAAGCTGCTCATTGGCCAAATTCACATCTCGTAGCCTAGACAAAGAACCGCTACTCGAAGTTTGACGACTACGTGGAGCTCCAATCCCGACAGATGGCCGCATAGGAATCTCAACCCCCAAAGTAGTGGCAAGACTAACACTAGCACTAGAAGAACCTGTGTGATGAGAAAGAGTGTGGGTATCCTCTGATCCAGCCCCCCAGGATGTAGCATGTCCATCGAACCCCAGAGAAGCACTAAGGGCATCAGCTTCCCCTTTTTGGGAAGAGGAGAAGACACCACCCTAGAACCATAGAGAGCCTCCACCATCCTTCTATCAATAGTGGTACCTATGAAACTGGTATAAGAAAAAGAATCTACAGTATCACAATCATCAAAGTTTAGTGGAAGGTTCGAATACATTTCCTCTTTTGCCTAGGGGAGGCTCTAAAATGACCCGCCGCGGACATAAGGGCCGCAAACTGCTTGATAAGATGACCCTGCACGGTCCGGAGCCTACTCTGCAGATAATGTGGGTGGAGCTACAAGGAAACCAAATATGTAGTGAATACAAGGACATGACAGTTAGACATAAAAGCAAAGGTAAAACCTTTACCTAGCTTGTTCCTCGGAGCAGTGTCCCATTTTGAGGATACTAAGTTATGGTCCTCCTTGGCTGCCCACTCACATCCAACGAAGAAAAACCTTGACTTCTAATTATGACAATTTGAAGGTATTCTAGTAATAAACTTACTGCACCTCGGAGCAAAGTGGTACCATCCTTGATAAGAAGCAGGATTATCTAGAAGCACATACGAAGCCAAGAACTCCGCAAAAGGGGGGAAATATCCTTGCCGTGAACCAACTACCATAGTGAGAAGAATGCCAAAATTACCCTCCAACTGTTGGGGTCCACCTCCCTGAAGTCAATAATAAAGAACCCAAAATTTGAAAGATGTGCATGGGTATAGGAAATCTCAATCCTGCCTCCAAGACATCCTCGTAGAAAATGATCTCCCCTAAAAAGTCATAACATGTTAGTTTATCCTTCTCAGTTCGATGACACATTACAATAGGAGGGATATGGAACGAAGATACAATGCGGGCAATGTCACCGTCAAAACTTGGAGAACTAAATAAGGAGGTTACCTTCGAACCGTCACCTTCAGTGGTCCCCTTGCCTCGCTGTGAGTCTTGTGTAGCATTCTTCATCATGCTTTTGCCAGAATGGGTGCCTACCAAAAATTAGAACCAATGTCAAGAAAGTGAAAATATCAAGCAAATGCCAAAATTACTAAAATGTCAAAGGGTAGGCAAAGTCGCCTTACCTAGTGAAAAGGTGTCATGCTCTCTCCCTTCTGTAAAGCCTAGTGCTCTAGAATGTCGCCTAGCAGTCCACTTGAGCAAGCACCAGCACCTGAGCGTGCATGCGTGTCAATATTCTTCTCCCCGGCGTCGCCCAAACCACCACTAGCCATGCCAAGGGTGTCGCCCAAACTGTGGCCTCCTGCATCAACGTCGACTCCAGACATGCTAGGGGCGCCACTCAAACCGTCAGTCGGGCTAGCAACGTCACCAAAGCCAGCTACGACGCTAGGGGCATCACCTAACCCACTAACTCCGCCGTTGCCACGTGGACCGATGCCCAGCATGCAACCTCCATCGCCTAGCGCGTGCCTAGCTTGCCCAGTGGTCCCAGAACGCCACTGGCACAGCCCCCAGTGCTGGTGTCGTCCTGTTTACTACTGACAGCTCTTCACTCGGCATTGCCTAGGCACCTACTAGTTGCTCTGTCACCCACGGCCTGGACTGCTTCAGCATCGCCACTGCTTGGGCTGCTCCGGTGTCGCCCACCACAATGGCATCACCCTAGACACTGCCCCTTGCTTTCGTGAAGCCCATAGAGTTGTCCATGGAACCTCTTATGGATTCACCCAAGCTGGATTTTCCCTTCATAATCTTCCCGCTCGCCTCCATCTTTGTTTTCCTCAACCTCCCTTTATGATTTGTGGAGTGGCGCCCTAGCTCTAAAGAAAGTATTTTGGGGGTAAACAAGAAGGAATTCTTTAAAGCCCTAAAGATAGTGCCAAAAGGTGGAGAAAAGGGATTTTTAAATATAAAGGAGTTGAAATCTCCTTCAGAGTGGTGATATCATAGTGAGTGTCAAACAACAAGACCGGGGAAACGCATAACCTACCATAGGGAATAAGGTACTCAGAGTGCCTAGAAGAAAAGCTCACTCATGCCCTCAACCTCTTGTCATTGCAAGGGCTAATAGCATGGGGCAAATAACAAGCCCAGATCCAGTTCGGTCCAGGCCCAATTCATGGAGTGACCCCAAATCAATTCGAAGGTAGATCAGGCCTAGCTCAAAGCCTTAGCCTAGTCCAAAGTTCAAGAGACCCAGGATGATCAGCGCACGTAGGGAATAATTATCGGGATAACCACTGCTCGAAGATCACGCCTATCCATAATTTTATCTATCTTTAGTTGAAGCTATCCTCCCCAAAAAACTAGTAGCTTGGATTTCACGCCACTGTCCTAACTGGGGAGCTGTGCCTATAAATTGTAAGCCCTCTACACATGAGGAACATATCTATCTCTCATACACCACATCCAGAGCTTACTTTTGCTCTCCCTCTCTCTCACCTACTACTTTATTAATAAATATCTCTGGTCACCGTCTCCTCCTTCAGTGGTTTGGTCACCTAGGTCCAACCACCCAATATTTGCCTTCTATTATTAATTGCCTCATTAATTATCTTGTCATCATATACTTGACTGTTTGACTGTACATAACCTAAATTGTGCATCTTCAAAATCTTTTCAAAATCTTCACTTATCAAGTTCAGAATCTCCAATAGTATAGCCATTTCTTATCAACTTCAGAATCTCTAATAGTATAGCCATTTATTGGATCAACTACTATGTACTCTTTCTTTGAAAACTATTAACAAAATAAAAATAGGATATATGAGAGAAAGAGAATGGTCTTTGAGGTGGGAAGAACTTACGATGGTTTAATTCAAAGAAAACCTAACCTCAAAAAACTTCTCCAGGAAAGTTAAAACACAAAATTCAACATGTCCTTTACATTCATAACAAGGGCTTTAAATATAAAACTAAAAACCAAAAAATATAACTTAAATGACCCATGGGTCCACTATCTAAATAACTGTCCAGAAAAATCACATCATTAGCATAGTTATTAAATAATCTACTATTAACTAAATGAAATATTATATACAACAATACATAAACAATGCGCATGTAACTCTCTCTCTATCTCTCTCGCATTTTGCCCTAATATAACTCAACCAAACATCATCCACAATGTAACCATATTCAATTTAATCATTGGACCAACACATGCACACACGCCCACAAGCATAAGTGACCTGTTTACCAATTTAAGTAATAGACTTATTTAAAAAAATTTAACTTTTTTTTTTTGCATTAATAGTTAATAACTAACTAATGGGGTAAAAATCTGGAGAGCGTGTGAGGTGGAACAGCTGATCTCTGTGAGTTTGTGTGATGTAATAAGAGAAAATGCACAAGGAGTTAATTGATGCATCAAACTGAAAAGTTAGGCTAGTTTAATTTAATAGAGTCTCTTGCTCCTTCAGTGTCTATTGCTTGAGGACAATAAAGGAGGTTATACTTGGGGTAATCAATTGCACATATCCCTAGAAAAGTAATGGCCTCCCTATTTATACACAAGGATGATGGAATTCTAACAAATTTGTCAATGAATATTTGGGATAATCATTGCTAGTTTTAGACTCTCCCCTAAATTTGACGTGACATTGTAGAAGTGATGTTGTGATATTTTAAAAGTGGTGTCTTATTGTTCAAGTTAGCATTTGCTGATGAATACCCTCTTCTATGCTTTATGACTTTTCTCGAGCTTATTTTGTTTATTAAGGGTAGAATAGTCATTTATTTTCCCTTTGTTTAGCCTATATATAGTCTCTTTGTATTTAGGTTAAATCACTTCTTCATATTCAATTGAATTATGCAGTATCAATAAAACTCTAGCCTCTTCTTTTCTTATCTCTTGTATTTCTCTTTTATTAGATTGTTTAACATGGTATCAGAGCAAAGTTTCATGGGACAAGGCTTAATCTCAAACACAGGTTACGCGGATATTCGTTCAGTTTTTGTAATCTGGTTTTCTTTGTTTTTTGATTATGGCTACTGAAAGAGACGATTCGCTTCAGTCTGTAAGTGTGAGGTTGGATGGAAAGAATTATTCGTATTGGAGTGATGTGATGAGAAATTTTCTGAAGGGTAAAAAGATATGGGAATATGTTAGTGGAACTTCTGTGAAACCTAAGAATACTTATGCGGGTTATGCTGCTTTGATAGATGCCTGGGAAGCAGACAATGCAAAAAATTGTTACTTGGATTAACAATTCTGTTGAGCATTCTATAGGTACATAGTTGGCAAAGTATGAGACAGCGAATGAGGTTTGGGATCATCTGCAAAGGTTATTCACTCAATTAAATTTTGCAAAATAGTATCAATTGGAGAATGACATACGAGCTCTTTAGTAGAAGAATATGAGTATTCAGAAATTTTATTCTGCTATGACAGATCTTTGAGATCAATTGGCTCTTACAGAATCGGCCGAATTAAAGGCATGCGGTGCCTATATTGCTTGTAGAGAGTAGCAACGGTTGGTACAATTTTTAACGGCACTTCGTAGTGATTTTGAAGGACTTAGAGGTTCAATTTTGTATCATTCTCCACTTCCTTCTGTTGACTCAGTTGTTAGTAAGTTATTGGCTGAAGAAATACGCTTTAACTCTTATTCTGAAAAGGGAATTCTTTCTACTTCTAATCCTTTTGTGCTAGCAGTACCTTCTAAACCATTCTCTAATAATCAGAATAAGCCTTACACAAGGACTGTCTTCGACGAGTGCAGTTTCTGTAAGCAGAAAGGTCATTGGAAGGCTCAATGTCCTAAGTAAAGATAGCAGAATCAATCGCAGCAATAATCTCAAGCTTGGAAGCCTGGCAACCAGTCACAATCTAATGCTCATAAACCACCTCAGGGTTACAAACCACCACAGTCTAATACTACAGCAGTAGTTTCATCGGGTCCTTTCACCGATTCTAGTACTTTGGCTGAGCAATTTCAGAAGTTTCTCTCCTTACAGCCAGAAGCTATGTCTGCTTCTTCTTCCGTAGGTCAGTTGCCTCATAGTTCTTCAGGTATGTCACATTCTATATGGGTCTTGGATTTTGGTGCTTCACATGATATGTCTCTAGATTCTTCATCTTTTGTTTCTGTATCTCTTTCATTTTCTATTCCTGTTATGACTGCTAATGGCACTCCTATGCCTTTAGCAGGTGTTGGTTTCATTGTCACACCTCACTTGTCTCTCCCTAATGTTTATCATATTCTGAAACTCATATTAAATCTTGCTTCTGTTGGTCAGTTATGTGATTCTGGTAATTTATTCACTTTTTCCTCTTCTTCTTGTTATGTGCAGGATCTGCAGTCTCAGAAGCTGATTGGGACAGGTCATAGGAAGGGGGGACTATATATTTTGGATGAGTTAAAAGTGTCAATTGTTGTTGTTGCTGCTGCTACTAGTGTTGATTTATCTTCTTTTCGTTTAAGTCCTTCTTCTTCTAGTTTTTATTTATGGCATTCTTGTCTATGTCATGTTTCTTCTTCTCGTTTGAGATTTTTGGTATCCATAGGGGCTTTGGAAAATTTGCAAACTTTTGATATTTTCTGATTGTAGTGGATGTAAACTGGCAAAATTTTCAATTTTACCTTTTAATCGAAGTAGTTCTGTTTCTTCTTCTCCATTTGATTTGATTCATTCTGATGTATGGGGACCTTCTCATGTTACCACAAAAGGAGGGTCTCGATATTATGTTTCTTTTATTGATGATCATACTCGTTATTGTTGGATTTATTTAATGAAACATCGTTCTGAATTCTTTGAGATATATACAGCCTTTCGAGCTCTTGTCAAAACTCAACATTCTGCTGTTATCAAATGTTTTAGGTGTGATTTGGGTGGGGAATACACTTCTAATAAATTTGATGAGTTACTTGCCTTAAATGGAACTATGCACCAAACTTTGTGTACAGATACTCCTAAGCAAAATGGTATTGCTAAAAGAAAACATATGCACATTGTTGAAACTGCTCGTTCTCTCTTGTTGTCTGCTTTTGTTCCTAGTGTGTTTTGGGGTGAAGTTGTTCTTACTGATGTAGGTTTGATTAATACAATTACATCTTCTCATATTTCAGGTGTTTCTCCTTTCGAAAAGTTGTATGGGTATACCCCTGATTATTCTTCCTTTAGAGTTATTGGTTGTACTTGTTTCGTTCTTCGTCCTCATGTTGAACGCAACAAACTGTCCTCTCAATTTGCTATTTGTGTCTTTCTTGGTTATGGTGAGGGTAAAAAGGGGTATCGTTGCTTTGATCCAATAACTCAGAAACTTTATGTGTCTCATCATGTTGTTTTTCTCGAGCATATACCTTTCTTTTCTATTCCATCCACTACTCATAGCTTGACTAGATCTGATCATCTCAAGCATGGCACCATTACTTTGTCATTTGTTTCTTCTTCTTTACAGATTGTAGATTTCTTTACCAAGTCGCATTCTATTTCCCATCTTCGTTTTCTTGTTGGCAAACTCTCGATACTTCTAGCTGCCGCATCGTGAGTTTGAGGGGAGATGTTAAGAAATATAGGGTTATTTTGTTTATTAAGGGTAGAATAGTCCTTTACTTTCCCTTTGTTTAGCCTATATGTAGTCTCTTTGTATTTCGGTTAAATCACTTCTTTGTATTCAATTGAATTATGTAATATCAATAAAACTCTAGCCTCCTCTTTTTCTTATCTCTTGTATTTCTCTTTTATTAGATTGTTTAACAAACCTGGCCTTAAATTTAGTAGGTCAGGTTGGCATATAGATAACCTTACCGAGCACAATTCCAAGC